TGGTGCCAAACCAATATATATTTATTTGCAAGGGTTTCAAAAATAATGACCCTCTCAATAATAGTTGGGAACAGTTGTGTGCAAATAACCATAAGAAATTGCACTAAGCCAAAATTTAAAGTCTCGTCTAATAAATTAAATCGTATTGCCAACAAAAGCAAAATAAACATTTCGAATTGGGAATATAAAAAAACGAACGGAGAACACATGAAATGTTCTCTTAGAATCACTTTTTAATTGAAGTATACACATGGATATATATAAATATATAGATATATTCCTGTATAAATGATGTATAAATGATTTTATTTTAATATTTTTTTTTAAATTTTTGAAGGATAGAAAAATAAAAGCAACATTTCTCAAGTAGTACACACCCAAATATTTATATAGAATATTTCGAGATATTGTAGGACATATTCAATGAATACATATCAAATGGATAGGCTACAATTGGAGCCACTGTGCCGGTAGCGCTTGCGATGCCTTGTCTGGAAATTTATTATGTTATGTCTCCGGCTTCGTTCCGGACGCCATCAGTGGGTTAAGGTTTCTTTCTTTCTTTCTTTTTGTGTGTGTGTGTGTGTGTGTTAGCCTGTGTGTGTGTGTGTGTGTGTGTGTGTAATTGTTGAAGGGCATGACGGCCATAGCCCAAAACCAAGACCAAATTGAACGCAATACCAAGTTCCCCCTTTTTGCCACCCTGCATCCTGTCACCCCCCAAGTTGCTATCTACCCCTGTCCCCAAAAGCTGTGCCAGTTTTTGCGGATCTGCGCTAGCTTCAGCTATATAGCTATATACAAAGCAATTTCTATGTCACTCGCTGTTGCTGTTGCTGTCGCTGTTGCTGTCGCTGTCCTTCTGGCCATCATTCAATTTTAATCAGCATGACTAAATCTCACCGGCCAGACAAGACTGTAGAGTCGCCAAACTCCAACCCCAACTTCAGCTTTAGCTTCAGCTTCAGCTCCAGCTCCAGCTACAACTCCATCTCCATCTCCAGATTTGGTTTCAATTTTTCTAGCTGTATTCGAGCTGCTTATCGAAACTGGCAACTTGTGCGTTGAATTTGCCAAACAAAACAACAAAAAAAAAAAGGACAAATCGAAAAATATATTGTATGTATAAGAATAAAGAAGCCAGCGGGTGCTTGGGGCACGATGAATATACACTCATGAATACACTCATAACGTGGACATTGACTTTGCTGGCCAGTTGTAAGCTTTCTCAGCTCTTATTATTATTATATATATATATATATTATTATTATATATATATATATATATATATATGTTTATTTGAGACTTATTGTTGGTCAGCTTATTGTCCCGAAACGTGTACCCGAATTATATTCAATTATTTCTGATTCGACTTTAGTATTTGACAACTTACTTAATTCATCATTTTCAGTTGCTAATGAAGATATATAGATATGTGTATTTGCTGTATTTATGTTTAATAAACACAAATCTAAACTGAGATTGTAATTTGCGTTCAATTCAAAGGATCCCCCTCGCAAAAAGGGTATACAAGTTTGGCAGAAAAAGTTGCTGAAATGCGACTGCCACAATAGAAACAGCAACAACAACTGACAAATTTGAACAACTCTTATTTTTTTATTGCTACTGCTGTTGTTGCTGTTGCTGTTGCTGTCGTTGTTGTTGTCGTCGTTGTTGTTGTCGTTGTTGTTTGCATTGCAATTGAAATGTTTGCCATTTTGTGTTGTGTGCCATTTGCTCATTTCTTTTATTATTGCTAAGTGAATGTTAATGCCCGATTTCCTTGCATATGTGGCCACACACACATATATATATATAAATATATATATAAATACATTGACTGGCGACTGGCTGGGAGAACTGCTCCATTCGAGTCCATTCAAATCCATTCGAAATCCGTTTTCATATTTTTGGTTTGGCATTTGATGTGGCTCTGATTTCATTTGCGTTTGCCTTTTCAGCTGCTGCTGTTGCTGCTGCTGCTGCTTCGACTTTTCCTCCTACACTTCCAGCTGCTCCGCCTCCTTTGGCTCCAATTCTTTGGACAAGTCTTCTCTCTTTTAGCTGTGTTATTGCTCTTTGGATTGGTCCTTCGGTTATTCCCTTTGCTTTATTAGCCAAATGTTTAAAATGTTTTGTTGATGTTGTTATTCTTATCGTTGTTGCTGCTGCTGCTGCTGCTATTGTTATTGTTGTTGTTATTGCTGCTGCTGCTGCTGCTGCTGGTTACGAGTGATTTGGCAACACTTAAGCGATTTTCAAGTGTGCCTCGGCTTGGGCTTAGGGCCAATGCGTTGCTCTGCCAGTGTTGCCACACAGCATCAAGCGTTAAGACAGATAGGGAAAAGGCCAAAATAAATATAACACAAATGAAAAGAGCAAGTGATAGATAGATAGATAGAGGGAGAGGGAGAGAGAGAGGGAGTGATGAATACTGCTATTATTAAATCGAGAGTGCACAAATCGTTTTCAGATCAACTTCAGCTAAACTAGACGAATCCCATACACAATGGGCATACTATGAGGAGAGGAGGAGAGGAGGAAAGGGGGGAACGGTTGGTTAGTTTTGGGCAGAGCATACACATACACACACAGAGAGACAGACACATACATGTATATATGTACACATCTGGCCAATGGCATGTGGCATGTGGCATGTGTGAGATGAATGCAATTGAATATGAGAGATCATTGTGTGTGCACTCAATGTATGAATGCACTCACTGCAAAGCAATTATTGTACGAGTGAATGTGTGTGTGTGTGTGTGTGTGTGTGTGGAATTTATTATTGAATATTTAATTAAGAATACATGAATGCAATGTGGAATTGAATGAATGGAATGAATGCCAGCAAAGAGACAAAGAGACGACAGCAAGAGAGCGCCGCTCAAATGACTATTTAGTGGATACGATGTGTTCAATGAGTTGTAGTGCAACTTACTCAACTCGGCTCTAAAGTAAACTAGAAAACGTAAAGCAACAAACGTTATTTCAAGCACTCATCTGGGCAATTGAGTGTTTCATGAGTATTACTCGATTGGGTCTGGTTTTTGCGATTTCATTTGTGAATCGAACCAAATTCCAACTAACTAACTGACTATTGACTAATACAGTTTGCAAGCGCTTTCAGCTTTCACACAGACTCATCCAGACAGATGTATGAATACACGTGTGAATTGCTGTCTGCATTCATTCCGCACAATTCAGTTTTTCGCAGTGCTGCTGCTTAACACTCGAGGCAAATTAGTTGCGCCTCGGCACAATTGCGTCTATAAATCAACAACAACAACAATTCTATTTTGCAACAGATTTTTTATGGTGCCCAAAAGCGTGCGCCCAGCGGATGCGGATGCGGATGCGGATCCAGCTGCGGATATGCGAATATGCACTCGAATGTATGTATATGTGAATGTGTGTGTGTGTGTGTTGCGTGAGTGTCTCAGCCTCTCGGTCGAGTCGAGTCGAGTCCTACGGCAAAGTGTCGAGTCGAGTATCTAGTTCACCCTCATGCCACCGACACCGACCCCGTCGAATGCACAAAGCGCACGCACAATTCAGCAAATTGACAGATTTATAACAAAATGCAATGAATAACAGCATTATTCACATTATTCACAAGGGTGCACGCTTTGAATTTGGGAATTACCAGCCAGCATTTCAGCATTTCGCCACTGGACCACTTTTAGAGCCAAGGGGTAAAATCGATAGAGAGCGAGAGAGAGCGAGAGCGAGAGAAAGAGAAAGAGGATTGCATCTTAGGCCTTAAGACTTTTAATGCGGATATTGGGATTTCGATTTCAACAGGCGCCGTAATGGAAACAACACACACACATATGCACACACAGACACTGAGACACACACACACACACACACACACACACACACACACAGACACACAGACACTGAGACACACACATGACACTCGTAATCCCTGTGGCACACCATGAAAATGGGGGCATGCGTCTCTCTGTGAGTGTATATATATATATTTATATATATATAAATGTGTGTGCGTATGCTGGGCGAACCAGTTCCCACATGATGATGACGATGATGCGGTCCGGATCCGAGTCAGAATCCGGCATTACCCCAAATTTCAGTTGCAAGTGAACAAAAAAAAAAAAAAAGAGAAGAAAAAAAATGAAACAAATCTATGAAGTTCAATCAGTTTTAATTGATTCATTTCGGGGTTGTGGCGAGTGTAGCGGGAGGTGGCAAGAAATGGCTGCAGCAGGACGGGTGGTGGTAGGGGTAGAGGTAGGGGTAGGGGTAGGTAAGCGCTGTCCGTTGCAGATAATGATGATGTTTTTGTAGCTGCCGCGTTGCCTGTTAATAAATTTATTATCTTGGGAATATGCGCGAGCGTCTGGCTAAAGCAAAGCGAACTGCGACGCTGACTGCGACGCTGACAGAGGTAGTTGCAGAGGCAGTGGCAGTGGCAGAAACAGAGGAAGAGGCGGCGGCAACGGCAGCGGAAGTGCCTCGTTGATTTGAAATGGAGCCCTGGGTCTGGGCCAGGCCGCAAATTTATTATGATTAAAGTTGAAAAGTTGCTGCAACTGTTGGAGGCAACAACGAGGCAGGGGGGGCAGCGTAAAGACACACCGAGTACAGTAAGAAAGAGAGAGAGGCATACAATGATAATAATAACGATAACGATAACGATAGCGATAACTATAAACGTTTAACTATAATCGTGCACTCAGCTTATAAAAGAGCTGAAATAAGTGAATAGTCCTCATAAGCAATCACTGTTCATCGCCAGATTTCAGACTGCAAATATATATCTATATATATATATATATATATATACAAATAAATATCAGCATGCATTAGTAATTCTCATTCTATAAAGTCGAGTACAGGCAACAATGGCGACTAGTCAACTATTTATCAACTGTTTTGGCTTGCAGATTGCATTTCTATATGCAACTCTGCTTCTTCTTCTGCCTCTCATTCTTCTTCTTTATCTTAGTGTATAATATGTGATTTGTACTCACCATAACGATGCTCCACTTCTTGCATATGTGACGCAAAGCTTTTTTGTAGCATCACGGTTTCATGGTCCAGAAGTTCTTTTTGGGTTTCGCTCCAGTTGCGGTCATTGTGGCAGCGACTCCTCCACTCGTACCCGTACCCGTACCCGTTCCCGTTGCCGTTGCCGCTGCCAATCCCGATCCGGAACCACTTGCCGAAACAATCGAACGTCCCGAGGCGCGCTGCTGATCCGCTGAGCAGCGACGTGGATAATTAAATGGCGACATCGAACCGGAGTTGCCCGCGACAGTCTCGGCAATGCCCATGTTCATGGCCATGCCCATGTTCATGGCGCCCATATTAATGGCGCCCATATTCATGCCCATGCCCATATTCATGCCGATGGGCATGCCCAGACCCATGCCCATGCCCATGCCGGCAATGCCCTGATCTTCGCCACAGCTGGCCATGCTGCTCTTCGATGTGGATGTGCCCGACGCTGTCGAGGATCGACAGCTGCGCAAATTGTGTGGCAAGGTGTTTGTGTGTTGTATGTGATTATTATTATTGTTGTTGTTGTTGCTGCCGTTGCTGTTGTTGTTGCTGCCGTTGCTGTTGTTGCTGTTGCAATTGCTGCCTTGGGGCATCAGGTTGGTGTTGTGACTGTGACCATGATTGTGATTATGGCCATGACTGAGACTCTGACTCTGACTCTGACTGTGACTGTGACTCTGCTGACTGTGGCTATGGCTGTGGCTTGTGGGCGTGGCTGTTTTATAGTAGCGCAAACTTTCATTGTAGCTAGCGCCGCTGCTGCTGCCGCTGCCACTGAATCCGCTATCAAGATCACCCTCATCGAACTCCGGATTGATGCAGCTGCTGTGCGCATGATCCTTCAGCTCCATGCTGTTCAGTGTGCTCGACAGATTCTCCAGGCTGGCGTGCGAGGCTGAGCTCGAGTTGGATGCGGCGCTGGCAGCAGCACCACCCAATAAGCCACCGCGACGCGGCCGCTGCTGTCCACTGGCCGTCAGCACATTGCCCTTGCCGCCCTGCACCAGCTGTGACGACTGTGACGCTGAGCAGTTGGCGCCAACAGCACTCCCGCTGCCACTGGCACTGGCACTGCCGCTGCCGCTGCCACTGCCGCTGCCACTGCAGCTGCTGTTGCTGGTGGCAGATGCCTCGTGCTGGACATCATTGGAACTGGCACTGGGCGGCGGTGGATTGGCATGGCTGGGACTGATGTCCGGTGGCGTCGGTGGCATAATCAATGCCTCCAACGACAAATTGAGCTCGTCGAGCACACGGAAATGATTGTGCTGGACGCGACGCAGCTCCTCCTTCACATTGCCCGCACTCGATGTGGCGATGCGATTGTCGGAGAGCACTTTGCGTATCTTCTGATCGCTGACCTCCTCATACAGATTCTCGGTGGTGCCGTACCGTGTCGTATACGTGTGTCTGTCCCGCTCCTCGGCACTCGGCGACGACGATGTCGATTGGCCGCTGTGCGACGACGACTTTGAACGGAAACTCTTCGCCAACAGGGCGCGTATCGAGTTGCGTGGCGGACTCTTTGATTGGCCGCCATGATGATGCTGATGCTGTTGCTGCTGCTGCTGCTGCTGCTGCTGCTGCTGCTGATGATGATGATGATGGCCATTGCCCTGACCCTGACCCTGACCCTGAGCCTGACCATGCCCCTGGGCGGGCACATTTGTATGGCATTTGGCTGCACCGGGCTCATAGTATGCATAGGAGTAGACATGATTAAAGGGTGCAGCAGCAGCAGCAGCAGCAGCTGCAGCTGCAGCAGCGCCACCACCACCCGATCCACCTGCGCCAGCACCTGCACCAGCACCACCATTGTAGGCCACATGCAGCGAGGCTGTTGAGGACATGCCAGCGGAAGCGGATGCGGATCCGGCCCCATGCGAGGGTGTGGCACTGCTGCTGCTGGGCGTCATAACGCCAGCAGCGAATCCATAATCCAGCGATGAAGTCGACGACGACGACTGTGTATTGGTTGTGGTTGCGGCGCTGGTTGGCTCAAAGCGCTCCATTGTGGCAGCAATATTCTTGCGTGACCACTTTACCTACAAAGCACCAAGAAAGCAAAGAGAGAAGACGAAGAACTTGAATTCAAATGCTTTAAAATGGCATCCTTAAGTTAAACCGATTTAATTCAAATCGATGAGAGAAAATACATTTTTACTATTATTTATTTATTTATATTTATTTATTTATTTATTTATTTATGCATTTTTATTTTTATTGGCATGCATTCGAAATCATTGGATTTAGTCGGACATTTCGGATTATGTTCAGCTTCAGCTTCAGCTTCAGCTTCAGCTTTAAGCTTATTTATGTAAAGCCAATTCAGCAATTGTCCTCATGAATGAATTTGTTTATTTATTTATTAATATTTATGGATTCACTTTCAATGTTGTTTATTTTGTCATCTCGGCTAACATAATAACAACATAATCAGCTTGCATACGAAACAAGATGACAAATAAGAAGCAAATGCTGCTGTTTGTTTACCAATCAAATGTGAAATGCCAAGGAATTTAGCAGTGGAGTAATGCAATTACAGATCTTCTGAGGGAATGCGAGAGGCATCCTCAAATGACAGATTAGCTTGGGTCAACAGCATATACAGCATTTACAGCAGCATATGAAATTGTTGCTGCTGTAGATGCATTTACAGCATTTGCAAATTATTCGAAAATATGTTAAAAATGTTACCTGCTGTTCGACATCCATTTTGTGGTTGCTGCGGCGACTGTGGCCGCGTCGTCGCCGCTCCGTGAAGGGTTCGCTGTGGCCGCCGCCTTGGAGCAGCAGCAGCTCACCATTTTGCTGCGAGGATGTGGCTGGTGGCGCTGGCATGCAGAACTCAATGCTGTCCATGTCATCCGGAAAGATTAGATCGCCCCGATGCCCAGAATGATGATGGCCGAGCGTTGCAGCGGCGCCGGCATGCCCCATACCGCCCATGCCCATGCTCATGCCCATGCCCAGGCCATGACCGTGCTCATGACCGCCATGACCAACGTGACCACTGTGTGCGCCGTGTCCATGTCCATGTCCATGTCCGAGGCCATGGCCATGGGTGCTGTGACCACTCCTGGTGAGCTGATTGCGTTGAATGTGCCGCATCGAACCGTGTCCTCCGCCGCCGCCGGGTGCACTGTGCACGGCCACCGCTGTGGTCTGTCCAGCCAGCTGTTGTTGTCCATGTTGCGGCTGCGCCGGATAATCTGCCGGCGGTGGTGGCGCAAAGCTGGCAAATTGTGGCGAGGCGCAACGATTCTGAAATTTGGATGCAGTGCTGCTGGCGGCGCTGCCCGGATACATGTTGCTGCTGCTGCTGCTGCTTCTCTTGGCTGGCGCAAAGTTATCGTTATCGATATCGATATTATCAGTTTCGATTGTACAGCGTAGTGACGCTACTCAAGCCAAGCTGCCAAAGCACATCATCTGCTAGAGAGAGAGAGAGAGAGAGAGAAGAGAATGAGAACAAAGCCATTAATCAGCGATGGAATTGAAAGCGCTACAAATGCATATGCGGGCGGGCGGATGGGGCAACTGCTACAGCAACAGCAACAGCGGCAACAACACCACCAAAGCCCAAGCCCAAGCCCAAGCCCAAGCCTAAAAACAGAAAGAGAAACAGAGAAACGACACATGACTGACATGCCATGCCAAAATCCCACAAATAAAAGCTGGAATTATGAGCTTTGCTGCGGCACTGAAGCGCAGCGAAAAACTCCAATCCCAATTTATTTATGCGACCGCCAAACAAAACATTGTTGCCGCCAACAACAACAGCAACAACAGCAACAGCAACAGCAACAAGAACACGCATGTAAAACATTTGGCGTTGGCATGCCAAGTCCCAGTTCTCAGTTCCCAGTTCCCAGTTGCGAGTTCCCAGTTGCCAGTTGCCAGTTGCCGGTTGCCAGTTCCATAGCTGGCCACTCGACGAATGCCATAAAACAGCATTAAAGCTATTAACAGCCACCAAGCACAGGCAAAGTTTTTCGGCTTACCCTGTAACCGGTTAGCTCCCAACGAGGTATTTGCCTTGTCTTATAAGACATAAGGGAAGCTAAAGGCTATATATATCTAGATCTATAGATCTAACCATTCTGTTGTGGCACCTAAGTTTAACCATGTTTGTAAATATTTATTTGTTATTAGTTGTTTGCAGGAATTGTTATTATTTCTTTCTATTTTTAATGTAATTATTATTATTATTATTATTACTTTTTTTGTTGTTCTTTTTGTTATTAGCAAATTCCAACCGGTTTTTCATCATATTTCCCTAGAATACTTTGCAGAGTGCAATGCTTGTTCGCTTTGCAGGGTATCTGGCAGTCGTGCTGCATAGACAAACGCACACACACCCACTTCATTCCCATTGCGTTCTTTCTTCATCCGCATACGTCTCGTGCGTGTGTGACTGATAGCAGAGCCGAAAGTGAGATCCGCTCTATCTTCGTTTCCCGCAGCTGCCACCTCATCCCTCCCTCCCTCCCCCCCACCCCTCGCTAGCTCCGACACCCCCTCCACTCTGGTAATCCGTACACCCGCAGCTGGCCACCCACTTTTACGAGCGTGACCATAAATCAATCAGAGCAGAGCACAAGGCGCAGATCCCATTTATGAGTCAGGGGCAAGAGCGCTGCAGCCAAGTTAATCCTTGAGGCAGCCAGCCATCAGCCAGCCAGCCAGCCAGCCATCAGCCAGCCAGCCGCACAATACTTGCCTCAAGGCCACGTTGCAAATGCCGCATAACCAATTGAAATTCGCTGCAACTCGCTGCCTGCAAGACTTCTTCATAATTCTTCTGCAGTTTTTCCTGTTGTTTTGCAACAGATTTCTTGTTTTTGTTTTTGTTATTGTTATTGTTCTTTCTTTTCATCAGCATTTTGGTTGTTTGTGTTTGTTTTTTTTTTTTTTTTTGGCATTCCGATTTCAATGCACAGCAATAACGAACTACAAACAACAACAAAGCAGGCCGGCAGTTGCAAAAAGCCAGTTGCAACAGTCCAACAGGCAATCATTTTTCTCCCACGCTGATTGATATATCAAATTGATAGCCGTGTGCCACAGCCAAAAATGTTTAGTTGCTTTTATTATTGCAGTGGCCAGTGTAGCAGCTGGCTAAGCCACCCACACCCACACCCACACCCACACCACACACAACACGCCCCATCCCCCTTTGCCCTTTCAGCTAACCGTATTTGTTTCTTTAGTTTGCCTAGATTTATCATTTTTTATCTGATATATTTTTATATTTGTTTGCTGGCCTTTTTGTGTTTTAGGCGATTGCATTTCAAATGCAAATTTTAACGAGTTGTTTGTGGTTGTCTATGGACGCCTGCCACAACAAAAACAACAACAACAACAACAACAACAATCGGCGTTTATTTGCAGGCAACGTTTTGATTTGGCTGATTGAGTTTTTTTCCATATCAGAAATATCATACAAAACAAGCAACAATGCTGAAGTCGAGAGAGCTTGACGGGGATATACCCTGAAGCCAAGTCCTTATCTAACATAAGTCGAAGATACTCCAACTTACACAATCACTGTATATATATATATATATATGTATCTTTCTCTCGTGGTTGTTAACCTGATCTTTTTGAACTTTGTACAGATCATCAATATTAAGCCAAGACAATTTCTTTTTGGATTAGATATACATATATATATATATATATATATTAAGTCCAATCAGTAATCGATTCTTGCATTACTTGATCCGAGTATTATATATGATATTATAGGCGGCTTTTATACCTTTACCAATCAGCCTGTTACATCATTTTGCACATCTTCAATCTGCCCTTTTCACGCATTTTCAGTGGGTGTACAGGGTATAAAAACAAAATCTGAAATCTGAACAATACTTTTTAGATAACCGCGTTAAAATTGCCGAAACTACAAGCTAAAATGATTTTTTTTTGGCAGAAAAAACATACGTATATATATATAGTATATATATATTTTGGAGTGGTTAATTGAGATGGTCGTAGAAAGTGCATTTTTACCAAGCGCCCAACGCTTGGACAAACATTTTTTCAATGCCAATTATTTTCAATTTATATATTTAGTTTCTCAGCTATAATCATTTGCTGCGTTGAAGTGTTGATAAATATAAGTAAATTTATATTAGTTACAGTTGATATTCAAACTTGCTAAGAAGAAATAGAATTTTTCTTGTTTATTTCCCCATTTTTTGATTTGATTTTTTATTTAAAGCTCAAATAGTCTTTGGAAAATGTGGCCACTTTCTCTGGCTTTAGTTATTTATAGCAAAAGCCTTTTAATTGCTTAGCTCAGTCACTCGACTCGGCTATTGATGCGATTGACAATTTATCTGTGACACGTATCAGATATCTTATGGAATTTATTCCAAGGCTTGTCAAATATTTATTAACATCGTTAGCTGGATGTATTTTGTATGAAAGTTATTTGTTTGGTATTCGATTGCCTTCTGCTGCATTTGGCTCGGCTCAGCATGACTTTGATAGACTTGTTCTTGGTTGCATTCCAAATACGGAATCAAAACCTGATTGCCACGCTCAAGCAACACCTTCACCCTCTGCTCCACCCACCACCAGCCCAGCAATGCAATATGCAATAATGCGATTGAATCACGGCTTAAAGTTGTTAATTTTCTTGCGTATGTATATCAAGATCAGCTGCAACTACTTTCAATAAATATGGCTTGTAACTCATGGATATCAATTTCAATTAGCCATTTCATTTTCTGCAGTTGATGAAAAGCAAAAGTAACCCTGGCAGCGGAAGCTCAACAGGTTTGCCATTGTAAGACAAAAAAAAAAAAAAAAAAGAAAAAAAGAAAAGCAAAATAAAAAAAGCAACTTACAACTAGGCAACAAGTCATTAGCACAATATACAAACACCAACACACAGATCTGTTGGCCTTTTTTCTTTCTAGCTGTGCTGCTCATTAACACATTTTGTGCATGTTGCACATCATTAGATGCCACAGGGATTCAGAACTTAAGCGCTGAATGAATCCGAGCGAGAGAAGGCAGCAGCTGGAACTGAGAGTCGCAGCGCAACATGTGTGGCATGTGGAATGTTTTATTAATTCGGACAACGGCTTGCCGACACGTGACTGCCACCCAACTACCGCCTGCAGATTGGCAACCCTTAAAGGTTTTGCATGGCGAAAAATGCGTTGATGTCAATGCGTTGCCTTCATTTATTCACACACTCGTTCAGCACTCACTCACTCACTCACTCACACTCACTCACACTCATTGCTGCACGCATTCATTCATTCATTTATTCATTCATTTAGCTCGCATCGTCGTTAAGCCTTCAGTCCATTTAGCACCATCATGCCACCATCTGAGCACTGAACAATTTGGCTCGCTCAGTGCAACTGCAACTTGCAACATGCAACCGCAACTGAAGTCGAAACGGAAACTTAAAAACAGTGATCCACGCAGCCAGCTGCCAGCTGCCAGCTTCCACACTCCAATCCACCAATCCACTGCCATTCTCGACGTAATGGCTTTAATTAACATACAGCCCATGAGGAGCAGTTGTTTGTTGGTGTTGCTCCACTTGCGGCAACTGGCACCTGGTTGCAAGTGGCTCGTCGCTGGCTCAAGTGGAAGTTTTTGGCACAATGCGGAACGGCGACAGCTGCGTACAAAACTCAAACACAAAATGTGGGCCAACATTTGGCGGTACAACAACATTAACAATAATAATTTAATGAAAACCAAGTTTTGTTATTTCATTGCTTTGCATTGCTCTGCTCTGCTCTGCTCTGCTTTGAGCACTCGCTTCAGTTTAGCTATTGAGCATAACATCGTAATAATAATAATAATAAGTGCAGCTTGAATAACAATGCCAAAATGAATGAATAAATGAATATATTTAATAAATACACAGAGCAAAAATAAACGCTGCCAGAAAACGAAATTGTTCATAAAAACGCAAAGCAATCTCAAATAATGAATGCGTTCTGTGTAAATTGTGAAAAATGCAAATGGGAAGGAAGAAGCCAACAAACTTATTTGAATTGATTATAAAAATTGAAGAAATTATATAAAAGATCATTTGAATGCCTTCGTAATATGTTGAATAATCACAATTTATGAACCATCAATCAAAGTCTAAAATAACATTATATTTGACTTGAAATAAGTATATTTTTTAATTGATCTGTATTTTTATCTAGCCATAAATGTTACTCTCACTTTCTGGCACTCTCTTTTTCCCTGTCTCTTTCTCTTTCTGTATAGATCTCATTAATTTGTGATTAGAACCCAGTTGTGTGTTCGGTTCGTACAACTATCTATCTAGATTGTTTCGATTGTTGTCAGTTGTGCCACAAGTTTGTGGCTAGATATTAATTTGAAGCACTCAACGCATTTGCCGGTTTAGCTACAACTCAAATGGCAAGTCTCGCTTATGTTTTTCCGGCAACAACAACCAACAAGCAACAACCAACAACCAACAAGAAACAAAAAACAAAAGCCAAAAACAATCCTTTCGCCATGGCTAAGACGAGGGCTCTACTTTTATTTTTGCCGTCATCTTGTTTAGCTAGTGTCAAGTCTAATTCACCGCAACCAGCCACCCACCCAGACACCCACACAGTTATAATAGAACCAGATGCGAGCACACAACTCCTTGCTGCCGCTCCGCACCGCACCGCTCCCGCCGCCACCCTCAGCTCCAGCAGATTCGCCGGTAAAAGAAACAAGAAGAAGCTGCAAAAAGCAAAGCAATGGCAAATCTAACCAAATGCCAACACAAATTTTGTTTGCGCTTTGTATTAGGTTGACAAAAATCAACACCAACCAGACGGAGAGACGGACGACGACGACGAAGACGACGAAGACGATGACGACGACGACGACGACCACGTTGTCGGAGCTTTTCCTCAATCAGAAGTCAGAGACAGGGTAGAGGGGGTTAGGAGCGGGTGGCACTGTTACAAGAGATAGATTTATGTTGCCAAACCGCCCACATGCATATGATGGGATGCGAGCAGGCGGGGCAGAAGCAACACAACTGTCTATCTGCGTGTGTCTCTCTGTCTGTGTCTGTGTGTGTGAGTGTGTAAGTGTGTGAGTGTGTAAGTGTGTGTGTGTGTGAGTGTGTGGGTTTCAGCTGTTTGTCTTTTGCAAATGTTGGCAATATTTTGCGGTAAAAGGTGAATTTATTAGCACTCCCCCACGCAGTCAGTTCGTTTTTCTTTCAAATTATGCTCGCCATATGTCTGTCTCAATTCCCACTCTCTCCGACAAACACACACACACACACACACGCACACACATACGCACACACACACACACTGTCCCCTCTCCCTTAGCCATTTGATACTCCCCACACACATATGCAGCGCAACTCTTTAACTTGGCCAAGATTTAAGTTTTGTTTTTTTTTTTATTGTTTTTGCTGCTTATGTTGCTGTTGTTATTGTTGTTGTTGACTGCATCTTCTGCTGTTTACCCCTGCCACTATTGCCAGCTCCCCCCATCCCCCTCCCCCCATCCCCCTCCCCCTGCCGCTTGGACCCTTGGTCCCATTCTTATCGTAGGCGCTGCAATTTAAAACACATTTTCGGGGATTAAAATCTTGACAAATCATAAACAAAACGGCGACGCTGAGGCAGCTGCACGGCCAGCACGCAATTACGGATACATTTGTATCTGTATCTGTTGCTGTTGCTGTTGCTGTAGCTGCATCTGTAGCTGTAGTTGTAGCTGATGCCGCCGTTGACTGATTTACTTTGGCCTAACAGAAAAGATACCCAAAAAAAAAAAGAAAAAACAAAACCAAATAAAAAGTCACAGAGCCCCAAAAAGCCACAGACAATGACAATAAAATGCCACACACAAACAGACACAACACACACACACACACACACACACACACACACACAACACGCAGGCAGCTGAGATGCATATCTCAGAGCAAGAAGAAGCAGAGATTGAGAAAGAGAGAGAGCGAGAGAGAGGGAGAGAAAACATGTTATGTGGAAAAACGCTCGGAGCTTCTCAACTTTTGTCCAGCGACACTTTATGAAATAGAAAATGAAAATCTTTAGCTGGAGTTTAAGATAGAGGGCAATGGCGAGTCTTTGGAGTTGGGGGGTTGGGGAGTTGGGGAGCGAGCGAGCGAAGGGGAGTGTGGATACCTAATGCCAGCGGCAGCCGCATAAAAGCCACAAGATACGCATCTTATGGATTGTTGCTCTTGAATTTTTAAGCCGATTTTTGGTTGACTTTGCTGCGACATAAAACACAATAAAACTGATATAAAAACGATGGCCCCAAAAGTCAGATGTTGTTGTTGTTGTTGTGGTTGCTGTTGGTTTGTTGTTATTGCTGTTGGGTGACAACATGCAATGGACAGATGGACAGATGGGCAGCGGGGGCTTACGGCCAAGGGTTGGGGTAACAAAAACTGACAACGCTTTCAGCGCATGTCAATGTCGACATTTTCAAATTCCAATAAGTTTTGTTGCTCTTCTTGTTGTTGTTGTTGCTGTTGTGATGTTCTTTGATAAAACGGTAAAATAAACAAAGTATATATATATATATATATATACATGTGTACAATATAATCGACCATATACGTTTGTATGGGGCGCTCTTCGCTCTCTTTCAAGTGAGTTTAGAAACTTACCAGCAAAGTCAAAAAAAAATTACAGCCCAGTTTCCAGTTGCCAGATTTCAGTTGAGATTTTATGAATATGGAAATGCTGTAATCAGAGAGAGAGAGAGAAAGCATGTGAGTACAATTTAATTAGCATGCGTACACTTTTGGCGTACACTGTAAAAGGGAATAATAAGCAGCAGCAGCAGCAGCAGCAGCAGCAGCAGCAGAAAAATGAAAAGCTCATCAAAGTAAAATTTGCATGTGGAATGCAAATGTTCCATCAAGCGTAGGAAATTGAGTTATATGTATATATAAATATGACAAGCTGAGACATGCCTGCCACACACACACACACACACACACACATACATATATATATATATATATAGATAATGTATTTCGATATCAAAGTCAACTAAGTGCTGAAATTGCATACCAAATGTATGTTTCAGTGTTTGAATGTTTGTCAAATATTCCGATATTGTCGATATCTGAATGCCTAATTAAATTCCTTAGCTGGAAGCCGTGATGGATTTTAGTTATTACCAGTGCTATTGATATTGCATTACTGTTCTGCATACTCTTGTAAGATACAATCAACGAGGAATTTAATCACAATTGTTATCTATTTATGTGTAAACAGAAATTGACTTCTTGGCTCATGTATGTGGTATTTACATATATTGTCAACATTGCAATAGATTTAATACATTGGCAGCAAAAACATATTTTAATAATTATTTGATATTTGGGAATTTCGTAACAAATGCTGAGTTTGTATTGCTTTCAATACTGGAGTTTGCCAAGGTTATTTTCAAGTTTTGTTTTATTATTGAGTATTCAAATATTTCAGCTTGCCAACACAAATATGAATTATTGCCAGCATTTTATTTTTATTTTTATTTTTTTTTTCAGCTAGATCGCCAACTGTTTGATGTCAAATCGCTAGTTACACATTGGCCGACTGCACACACCTCAAAAAACACAAAAAAAAAAAACAAAAAAAATAAATAAAATTAAAAAACATTGAGCCGCGTTGGGCTAATAAATTTGTGGAGCAAAAATAAATCCACAAAATAAAAGAGGCCAAGTAAAGTGAGCTCACAAAAAATGCCAGAGCCAACAGCAAAATGCACGCTTCGATCTATGGGGCACAGGCGGTCGAAACTCTTTAAGCAGCTTTAAAAAAAAATAGAAAGAAAAAAAACACTCGGCACACAAAAGGCAATTCTGCTCTGGCTTTTGATATATGTGGCAGTGGCGCTGGCAGTGGGGCAAGTAAGTGGGTCCGACTCCGAATCGGAGTCCCAGGTCCAGGTTTCTGTTTGAGTTGAAGTTTTCCTCTTTTTTTTTGTTGTTTTTGGACTGTTGCTGCTGGGCAAAGTCAAGTCCTGCGAATATCTGACATGAAATGCTTTAATTGAGCGAGTGTTGGAAAACGTAGGAAAGCCAAGAGACGTGAAGTGAACCATGAACAACAAATGGAAAATGGAATAAAAATACAGTTCGGCCATTGTGAAAAAGTGAAAGCATTTCATAAAGGAAACCAAGCCGAAAACTCGATAAACCCCAGCATGCAGGTGTATATTGTATATTGTATAACTGAACCACAGGGCCAAGAGAGAAGTGGTGCTGCTGGAGTACGGAGACGGAGACGGAGACGAAGAAGCCGTCTACGAGGAGGTGACAAGGCAATGGCAATAAAATAAAATAGAATTTTAAACCACAGGCAAACGTGCGTTATTCATTTTTGAATTTATAACACAATTGGGAGAATGTCGTGCCGCGTGCGAGAAACGCCAAAGGAGCTAAAAGGGACGAGCTTGAAGGTGAACTAGATGTGAAAAAAATGCAAAAAAGAAAAGAAAAAAATAAAAATAAATAAAATAAATAAAATAAAAAATGTAAAGCAAGAAAGAAAGGAGTGAAAATGCGCAGCGGAATAAAATGCGTGGCTCCTTCGCCCCGTGTGTGTGACACATAAAAATAGAAATAAAGGAGAATGTGTGTGTGCGTGTGTGCCTGAGTGTGTGCGGGTGTGTGTGTGGGTGTGTGAGAGTGTGTGTGTGGTTTACCTTGGGGTTCCTGCTTTCTTGCTGGAGAAGAAAATGCTTGGCAGTCAAAGGAAATTGTGTCGTGGCAAATGTGACATTCTAACGTTGTTGCCACTGTTTCCCATACCAATTCCCCATTCCAATTCCTATTCCTATTCCCATTCCTCTTCACATCCCCCATTCCCCAACCCACATCCTCATCCACTTCTCGTCTCATTCCAGAGTAGCACTGCTTGACAAAAATGTAGGAGGAAAGCAAAGGCAACGCAATGAAAGTAACCAGCAAGCAGCATGATAATCAACATAATAATGATCGTATCGTTGATTATGAAGGTATATATACACACACACACACACACACACACACAGATGAGTGTACCTTGTCATAAAGCATCGCATATGTGTCTGTATGGTTGTATTTGCTTGGCAAAAGTTCAAAGCTTAAAGCCAATTTAAGGTGACCTTAAACATGTTCATGGTTCATCAATCAGGCAGTAGAAATGATAACAACACGAATAGTTCTTAGGCAAGTAACCATTTAGAATGGAACAATGAGTAATAATAGGCGATTGTAACATCAAGACAACAAACTTCAGATTGTAATCGAATATATTGCTGAACGCAAACAAATATGCCGGCCTTTTTAAGAGGCTATTAAGTCTGAAATGAAATGAAAAATGAGTATGCAAATTAGAGGAAGAATCGACAAACTTGTTTTAAAGTTGTTCCAACTAAAATAAACGAACTCAATCTGGGCAAATAATAAACTAGCGAAATAGAAGACAACAGTTCGACATCGAATTACAGCGAAATGAACTAATTCATGCCCAAAATGACATCATCAGCGGACCAGTAGGAACTTCAAAGAACGCCCTCCTATAACACGCCCCGCCCCCCTCCCCTACGCAACACACGAAGGGGAGAGGCTGAAGAGGGGAACTGTGGAACTCGATACGAAATCAAATGGCCAAGTTTGTCGCTCTAATCAATTTACAATTGTTGTCCAATGATCTGTGCGGCAATAATCGTTCGGCCAACCAAATTCTGAAGTCCCACAACTACACGACCCTAAACAAAAAACACACACACATATGTCTAAAGGAGTGTGCATGTGTGTGTGTGTGTGTGTGTGTGTGAAGACCTACAGCACACTGATGTGTGTGCAGGCAGTGAAAAAAAAAACAAAACCCTTTTTTTGTTTTTAAGACCAGAGACCAGAGAGCCACCTCATGAGTCATGTGCAAGAAGCGTTTGGCTTTGTGCTGCGCCTGTTTACATGCAGATAACTCCCACACCCTAAACCGAAGGAACCCCCACCCCTTTCCCTTCCCCTTCCCCTTTCCTTTCACAAAAATTAAGCTAACATAACATGGCATTTTCATATGCTGCTTGGAGCAGCAGTAGTAGTACTCATAAAATGAATTTGGGCTTGGGGTTTGCACTCGTTCATTTTTATTATTTCCATCACAATCAACCAAGACGATGACGACCTTGTACCTAAAGTTATTGACACACACACACACGCACACACACACTGCATATGTAAGTGTGCAAATATGTGTGAAATTTATTTGCCACAACCAGGGGTTGCACAACCCTTTTTCCTTATATTTTTTATTTTTTTTTTGCTTCTTGGTTTGAAGGGTTGCTTGCTTTGCTTACTTGCTGCTGCTCAACTTCGATTACAGCCCCCAATTTTTGTTGTTTAAAATCACTTGATTGCACAAATGCTCATTGAGCTAATTTTATTTCGTTGCACACACAGCGAGAGAGAGAGAAAGAGAGAAATAGAGAGAGAGAGCGAAAGAGAGAGAGAGAGAGAGAGAGAGGCAGCAGGCAGAAGGCAACTTGAGCCACGTTTACATTTGATGGGATTCAGTTTCCATATGCAAAAGACTAAAGACCGAAAGCCAGGCCAAGGCTAAGGCTAATACCAGTCCGGACCTTACCGGCTGTTCGGCTACCTAACTTACTTATTAGCCCAGCGAATGCTCGACAATGTGGAAAAATTGCTGTTGTGTCCTTAAAACAAAAGCAACTAGAACCAGCAACAACAAAAAACAACAGAAGACTGATCAAATTACCAGCCCAGAAGCAGCAGCAGCAACAGCAGCAACTGGGTTCAACTTTGATTTACTTGAGTCAAAAGCATGGAATTGTCCCCTCATCGTCTCGTCCTTTCGTCCATTCGTCCTTTTGTCCTTTCATCCACTCTTCCACTCGTAGCCCACTCGTCGTCGTCCACTAATTTCGTGCTGGCCACTTTAATTAATTACTGCCAAAATGTGAAGACTGACAGCAAGGACAACAAGCCAAAGAATGCGCTAGGTGAGCAATTACCTGTAATTTGAACCGACAACCAAAGGTTATAGGGCAAATAATTTGACACACACACACACACACACACACACATACATGCACAACAAGTCAAACTAATATTCCAACTTTAGTCCGTATTTGATTTAATTTACATGTTCGTACTTTAATCCTCTATTTCTATAACAATTTTCAGACTACAAATTAGAAATCGAATTTTGAGTTGCTTCTGTATTTTGGTTTATTACAATTACTTTATCCAGTTAATTGCCTTGGGAAGACCCGAAGTGTATCATTAAAGTTGAGTCTTACTTCTACTTAATCTTCACAGTTCAAAACACATTTGGTACGCTCGACTTGAGTTTCAAAGTTTCTAAATAAACACGAAAATAGCCCCCAGGAATCCCATTGTCAGCTGCATCGCTTTGGCATTTTGGCAATTAAATCATTTTGGTCATAAATCGAATTTAACTTCCCACACACACACACACACACAGACACACACATATATATATACGCGTAAGCATCTTTAGTGTTAATCCAATTAACTGGCTTCAAACACATTCCTTTCTACCTACAACATAAAAACGTAGCAAAACAACTACAACAACCAGGCAGAGGCAGAGAGGCAAGTAAAAAAAAAAAAAAAAAAAAAAAAAAAACTAAAACGGTTTCAAAGAAACTCAAACTTCAAGTTTTATAGTTTGTTTTCAGGCTGCTACAAATTTCATAG